CTGGAAAAGGAAAGGGGGAAAGAAAACAGACCCCCACGTAACCAAGCCATGTTCATCATCAGTGATTCTGCATCATTCCTTTAATTAAGCAGCTGCTAAGCTTTTGGACAGCTAAAAAAAAAAAAAGGGAAGAAAAGGAAAAAACCCTGACAACACTCACTTTCATATTTAATTTCCCATGTTTGTGTCATGAACACAGACCACTGTTCCACACTGATGCACACAGCCCTGAGTTGTGTCAACTCTTTGAACCAAGTCTCTGCCTGGCCACTTTTACATCAGTCCAGTGCTTTATGCCTGTACGAGAGAGGGGTGCTGGCGTTATTTTCAATAATACGCTGTGCTGCCAAACACAAGGCATCAGCCACGTTCCCCAAGGATGGCCCCTTCTCAGGGCTGCAATGGATAAGCCAAGGAACAAGGGTGCCAAGGACGAACTTGGTACACGCACAACTGGAGGCCTCCAAGCCACTCGCCATAACCACCTGGCTGCACAGCAGATTTCAACATAACACGCAAAAGAAATGCTCCGAAATGACTCATTACCTGATTTCAAATTCCTCTCTCCCTTTTCCTTCCCAACCAAGGCACGGTAAGAACAACAGTGCAGTACTTGTTGTAGGCTTATCCCGAGATGGGAATCAAAAATTGTAGAGCTGCCGCAGGAAAGCCACTCCATTTGTGAAGCACATACCATTTTGAACGTAAGAAGCTGACAGCTCCTTAAAAATGACCGTCATTCTAGAGCACTCATAGTACAAAATTAAAAAAGCAAGTCCAATACGTACCCCCTCTACTATAAAAATGGCTTAATTTGAGGGGAGAAAGAATTTTTATGCTATTTTCCCACCACAACTAGGCAATTTTTTTTCTTTCGCAGAATGATCTCCAAGCTCTCATTACTGCTGGTCTAAAACATTTATTCCTGCCCACTCAAATCTGCCAAAAGAGAAATGAATCATATGTCAATAAAACTTGGGGTCCTGAACATGTGTTTCAGAATTAATCTTAACGGTGAAATGTGTGAATCTGAACCCAGCTACAGCAAGGCCTGCCAACTTCATTCATGGTAATTAAGCAAAGCCACACACATTTAAGGGGATATTTAAGGAGCGCAAAGTGTTCCTATGGGGACTGGACTCAAGAACTACTCCATAAGCAGCTACTGCGCTTTAGAAACATATTAATTACTCTGCAAGAAAAAGCCTCCCAGAACTACCAGGGATAAAGAATTTGGCAATACCTGCACTGACGTTTTCTACAGGGAATAGGTCCTTCTGCTTAGTTGCTGGCTCTGATGATGTACTGGACGGCAGCTCCCCTGTGCCTCTGCTTTGGACTCAATCCCACCAAGTGCTGAACACGCAATCCAAGCTGAAAAAGCACTTATGCACAGATACAGCCTTTTGCCTGAATCTTAGCATCAAGGGTTTTATTGCGCTGAGTCCTCAAGGCTGAGAGGACAGCACATTGCTCACCCATATTTGGGTTCTCTGACAACCCATTCCCGACATAACGAGCATGACAATGCTGCACAGCCCACCTCGTTACACTCAAGGTACGTTCTCAGGCTGTTAGTTAACAAGCAACTCCATGAAGTGGTAACAGAGATATTCTGCTATTAATGATGATGGGCTTTCACCCATTGAGGAGCTGTACATCCCATCTCACAGCCCTAAGGAGCTTATCCTGGTCCAGCTCGCAGTGGAGTCAATAGAGTCATCAGCTGCAGAAGCTGGACCATGCCTCAGCCTGGGAGAAACCCACCCGTCCCTGCCGACGCCACAGGCACCAACAGATTGCTGGCATCCCCCATCTTTTTTAGCAGGGCTCACTTGTGCTGGCACAGTCCTGTACTGAAGCAGTGTCCCAGCTCTGGGCTTGATGGGGCTCAGTGCGAGGGTGGGAGAAAGACTTAGCACCTGCCTTTATCAGCACACCCCATGGCAATGGCTTCCAGGTGGATACAGCAAGTGCAAAACAGATGTTCATCTTAGCTGATACCATTTAGGCCGCTTTCTCTGCTCTTCCACAGACCTTGCCCCATCCTACTCCCACTGGTATGAAGAGAAAACCTTCTCCACAGCTCCTGCCATCTGGATTCACTTTTCTCCATCTCTCCAGCTCATCATGTTTCTGTCTATAAATGCCAATAAAAAAAAAAATTCACGTATTTTGTGTCTTTCATCTTTACATATGATGTCTATGCCTGTCTCTTTTTCTCTCCTGCCTGTTACTGGTTTCCCAAGCACCTGCTTCAGCATTTTCTCCACCACGATCTTTATCACTGGGGGGGTGCTGCTGCCAGCTGCTGCTCCGTGTCAGAGCCCCGGGGCAGCCAACCCAGCCTGGAAAATTTTCATCGACTCATGATCAAAAGCGACTCAGGTTCAATCCAACAAGAAACTAATACAGGCTGTCCGTCCCTCAACTAATCAAGCAAAAAAGTGATAAGTATAAAGAAAATTGTCAACATGTCAAATCTATCATTCCACAGGCAGAATCTTCCAACTAGCAATCAAAAAAACCTCACAAATTTCTAGCACAAGCATCACTGTTATTGAAAGACATTAAAATGCAGTTTTTCAAAGTAATAAGCTTTATTGTTTTACTTCTTCCAGGACTTATTTTAACCCTTTGATCAATGCATTTAACTTAATCACTACTAAGAGAAAATACACCTTATTCAACGAACTTTAAAAATCTTATCACTGAGAAAACATGGGAAGATGATACCAAACATCGTCCCTGGATATCCTAGTACAAGTACTGTTGTTCTCTTTGCAGTTGCAGTCTGTCAGCGAGGGCCCAGCCAAAAACAACAAGGAAGTATGAAAAGACCAAAACAAGCCACTTCAGTAATCAAGGTGCGAAGGACTTTTTGCTTAAATTAAGTTTTTCCATATGATAGCAAGCAGATAAACGCAAAAGGCTTGTAAGGTTAGGCCTGCCCATTCAAAGGTAGTTTTCTCTTTTTCTCCTTCCTTTTATAAATATCAGAAATGCCAATTTCTGCATGAATAATTTATCTTGAATCCTGGTGAAGCAGACAGCACTGCTGAAAACAGCAGCAGCTTTCAATGAAACTTTGGAGGGGGAGGGAGGAAGAGCTGGCTCCAAGCTTGGCACACGAAGGCAGAGATGATCTTGTCTAATCAAGGTCTGTATTAGCTGTGGAATGAATCCGTGTTACTAATAAAGAGATACATAATACAGAGAAGTTTTTATCATGCAAAAGCGGGGGCGGGGGGGGAAGCAAGGCTGCATAGTGTAAATCACGGGAGGATAACGGGATGCAAAGAGGAGAGCTCTGTCCTCAGATACACAACGCAGAGCCTGTGATGAACCACGAATACCAAAAAGAAAAAAATTGTTGCAGACATTTGTAAATAAACATTTTTAGGGAAAAGGCCCAGGCAGTGAGGGGAGCCCAGGAATATCTGTCCTTGTTCATTTTCCTTATGAATCATTTTGTAACACAGCTGTCCCCTCACCCCCCACTGCCACTCTACTGAGCAAAGCAGATCCCACTAACATGGAGACATGTCCTACACAAAGACACACTCAGGGACCCCACGATTTTGACTTGTGCACAACTTTCAAAACTTTCCTGTTTGCACGAACAATGTTCAGGCTAATCCCGTAACACTCCTACTTCTATTACGGAAAATCTAGTGGGCTCTATTGCAGTTATCAGGGATCTTAATCTTCTCCCTTACACACTGCAGAAGGTCTGAGCAAAAGGTAAAAGTGCTCTCCAGTCCCTCTGCGCACAGAGAGAGGGCAAAGCAGAGTCAGAGACCCGGCCGCGTATAAACACTGCTCGGTAGATTTTACTTCCACAAGTGTCTGATCACAAGTTTCCACTCCAAATCAGACTCTCAGACCCACACTGTAAATCAGCAGTGAGGCCAATGATTTACTGTTCATCTTGTCCGATACCTCTGGCTATGCCACCCTTTTGTGAACACATAAAAATCAAAGAAACTGTGAACCATCCAAGTTCACGCAGGGTTTTGATTCAGCGAAGGCTCTAAAACTTAGAAATTGCAATCCCAGAGCTGGTGAGGAACTGGGAGAGGCAATCGTGTTATACCGACTTTGAGAGGTATTCCTGTCCTTAGCACAGATGCCTGAGATGACGCTCATGCCAAGCTCTTAGCTTGGTTTTTTTTACGGGGTCCTATGCCTCTAGCTATGTGGGTCATATGGCTAGTAGCAAATTTGGTAACTAACCGCCGTTCCTGGTTGCAAAGTTCAGATTTTCCCATTCAGCGGCTCTTTTCCTGGCTGGAGAGGAGGTGGCACTGACCGGGGCCCTATCCTGAGAACAGATGTGGAAGCACACAGACCCTCTACACCTTCTCCTCTCATCCCATCTGATGGCTGAATCTAGTCCAATATGCATGCTCAAACTTGCATGCATGCAACGTGCCACTTACATGAGACAAAATCTATGGCAAGTTTACATCCTTCAGGGACACGACGAAAATAAATCTACCACTACCTTGCAATTTTTTGCTCATGCATTATGCCTTAAGTCTGTAGAGATTGTGTCTTCTCTACACTTTCTTGCATCAAATTACTACTGAACTGGCACCAGTGGTTCAACTCACGTTCCCAAAGCACAGTCTTGTTAACAACCACAGGGGTGACCCAGATGGGACAGTGTCACTGCAGTGTCTGGGCATGGACGCAGGTCACTGCAGTGATCTTCCAAAAGGTGCAGGCTTCCAAAGCGGTCTTGATTTATTCTCATTAGAGTTGACACAGAATCTTTTGTCATGCCACCTCCTTTGAATATGAAAGAGGGCAGCTCCTTTACCTCACAGTATTAGCTATAAGACCAGTTAGGCCCAACATTATTTCAACCCAGCAGATGCTGTATTAACAAGATGACAATGACTAATTAGAAACTGCATTACTTGCCAACAAGCAAAGGAACTGCACACAAAAAAAAGCGAGAAAAATTGTGGCAATAATCTGATAAATTCTGTTACCTGAGAACTAGGCACAAGGGCTTTCCACCAGTGTCCGCCTTTCACAAGGTCTACATCGCTCAAGGGCATTGACACTTTGCCAATAACACAATGGCGTGAGAATTTGTCAAAATCCACTACGGTTAAAAGCAGAGTTCTTCTCTGGGCTTCTAAAAAGGGGATTTCAAATGTGTACCTCTCTTCAAACACCGGGTTCTGCGTTTTGCGTTTCACTCCAGTCTGCTTGGAGTTCTTCTGATCAGGAAGAAGGCAGATCTTCACGTAGGGGTTGGAGTGAGCCATGTCTTGCCTTGAACCATCGTAAGAAATTGGAGGAGGCAGATCTTTAGCCTCAATGACTCGCACTATTAGATAATTATGCAACAGGTCGTACTGAGTGCTAAAATGCAGCATGCCCAGCTGATACTTTGATAAGATCTCCTCATCTGTCAAGGAGTCCATATCATCACTATTCGAGTCAAGAGAGTACAGTCTTGGTTCAAATTTTCTAAAATAGTCATCTGGGGTATAGGTTTTTCGCAGGATAGTTGGCTGAACTATTTCTTTCTTAGCTCCTATTATTCCAAACTCGATAGGTTTAATGTCAATTAACGGAGAACTTGGCCTCCTCGACTCTAAACCTAAATGAGAGAAATGCACAAGTACGATTGTTAGAAACTCAGCTGAAGCCATTACAGGCGCAAGTCAACTTGTGCTTCTTTGGGTACAGCTATTCTATGTCTGTGCGATGCCCAGCACAGCAGGCTACCCAGTGGGACTTTTCACCATTACATTGCGAACAATTAATAGCACCCTTAGTTACGCCGAAGTGCAAGCTGAGCTACACTTTCCCCCCCGTCCATTTTCACCTGCAATTACCATGCATATGCTTCAGCAAGAAAAACAGGGCTGGCCCCTTCCCCTGTGTTCCTGCAGAACAGGATGAGATTTTAATCAACGTACCTTCAACTTGACTTGATTCCCTGTCTAAAAGATGACAGAGCAAGCACTACAGTTTGATTTTCTTCTCCACAAGAATTACATTATATGTTGGAAGGACGACCTTACTTGAAATCCGCCTTGTGAGGCTGTAAGTGGACCGTGATGCATCTGAAGACGACCGCCTTCTGTCAGGGGAAACATCCTGAAGAGTGGGAGGCAGCTCACTGATTGTATTATCAGAGTCTCCATCTTTGTCCTCATTTTGGCTGCTTATCCTGTTACAACGAGAGACCTTTGGGTGAGTCAACCCAGTAAAAGGAGTATATACAGAATAAAAATGCATTCTGGTCTTTTGGCTCTAATCTTGGATGCACATCCCTAGATGCTGTGGGGTATCTCCTGATCTATTTGGCAAGCAAAAAGCTGAGCAACTGACTTCAGACCCATGTAAAAAACAGATTATCTTTCTTCCTGTCTTTCAAACAGTTGTATCAGTATTAGAGCATGACACAGGCCACACGGGCACGTGTGACTCAGATCTTGATCAGAAGTATTATATTTGTCTTTAAGAAAAAAAAAAGGGGAAAAAAAAACCCCACAAACCACAAAACCCAAACAGTAGCTTATTGCTGTAAATTCACAGCTACACTTTGGAAGCACAGCCTTCACTAGGAATGAACCAGCATGGGAAACCACCACACTCAAGACATCTCAAACCTATCACACACCTCTCTCAGTAAAATACTGCTTTGCAGGTACACCACTAAGGTTTCAAAACTCGATCTTATAAATACAATTAATTCACAGCTATTTATTGACATGCCTTTTAAAATAATTGGCTGCTTTTTATCCACTTCCTTAAAGCAGAGGTGATTCTCACAAGATAGTAATTTTACTGCCCAGGGGTCTCGGTGGGAGAAGGAAAGTTGGCAGGACCTAAATAACAAAGCAAGTTGCAGTGAGAGCTGTAGCATCTTTGAGAAGACTCAACAGAAGACTGGCATCAAAGGAGTCCACGTGTAATTCCCATTTCAGTTTATATGTATACACACACACATGTTTTTTTCATATAAAACAACATTCTGGTTAAAAACCTCAACATGTCACAGCTGCAGTGGCTCACAAAAGCAGTCAGGACCTCCCAACCTTGACTGAAAGCAGCGCAAGAGCAGACAGTAACAAGTAGAGGAGATAAAGTCTCCAACTGCATGTTCAGAGGGGAGCAGCTGGCAGACACCTGCCGATGGAAATAAAATCACACAATGGTATGTGATGTGTGGTGCATCATGCAAAATAAGCCTTTTGGTTAATCCATGAGACAGAGTACAGAGTATTCCAAAAAACAGCAGCAGATCACAAGGAAAGCATCAGCTTGAAATGAGCAAATCAAAGAGGAATACCGTGTGAGTTTTGCTCCCGATTCACCCTTTCTACGTGCATGGCTCGGTTGGGTATAAACAAAATATGTTGAATCATTTGCTTTAGTAACCAATGACTGGATTAGAGCAATAAATATATTCTGCAAAAAGTAGTAAACTCACAGAAAAGGCCCCCCAAATATAAAATAGATTTAAACTGGAATTTCTTATCCAAATTCACAAAGTTCACAGCAGGATCCATGCAAATCTCACCAACCCAGAGTCAGACAACTCATCCACATTAAAAAAAAGTCTGCTAATAATCAAAACCAAACCCTATGCTGAAAGAGGCGTACAATATTTGCACAACTCTGCAGCCCATTAAAGGCAGTCCAAATCATGCAGTTTGACATATAATCAGTACATGGAACACAAATAGCTTTTTTGTCCCTAAATGCGGGTCTACACAATCATAGGTAGCATTTGGATATACTTGTGTTTGAGAAGCAAATGCACAGAATGAGGAGAAGGCAGGGTGAAAAGGGAATCAGGAAGAGAGGCATTAAGGATGTTCTACAGCGGGTAAACGTAATAGTGAGTTAATAACATACAGATGACCTTTAGTAAGGAAATTGCTACTGAGCCACAATAATTTTTCCTCAAATAAAGTTTGGCCCTGGTTAAAGCAGCTCTGTTTCTGTTTAAACTGAACCTTTGGGAAGAGGAGTCGCGTCCTGATTTCAACTCAGTCTCACAGACCGTGCACCGTTTATCTTTGGGGTTTATGTAGAATATTCCACAACAGGCAGCGCCGACATACACCCTCGCTCCCAGCCCATTTCTGCAAAGACCAGGATGCAAGCGCTCCTCATGAAATAACAAGAAGCTACCATGCATTCAGGTCAATACAATTAGACTCACTTCAGTAAGAATTTTTTTTTCTAAGTTGCCACTGTAAAAAATTCAGAAAGTGAGAAAAATCAACAGGCTCCCAAGAGGAAGGGCTTAAACTTGCAGCTTTAATGTCCCCTCCTGAATTTCCAGGACAACGAGGTGTCTCAGAGCTGCCAAACGGAAAACCTACAGGCAAAAAATAAAGGATGGATTATTAAGCACGGGCGTTCAGATGTTTGCTAGTAGGCCAATGAAGACCGTAAAAGCAGTTTTCCCCTGGGGACTAGGAGGGGAGGTAATGAAGGAGCAAATTGCATTCTGCATTACACCAGTGTCCTGGGCCCACGAAGAAGTGCCAAGATGGAAAGATCTCAGCTGAAAACCTAGATCTATTTTTAAAACACTTTCAGGCTGTGAGCAGGGAATACAATCAATTGATTTGTTCCCAAATTCAATGCACGCATCTAAATGCAGAATATGGTGGTGTCAAATCCATCTCCCATTTTAGGGGTTTCCACTGAACCCAAAAGCCCCCTTTTCAAAAATAAAAGAAAAAAAGAAAAGGATGAGGGGTCAATTGGCATACACAGATCTCTGAGCACTTAAAAACATACCCATTAAACACCTTATTCTGAGACCAATTCCAAACCCTTACTCTGCTCACACATCTAACTCCAGACATTGTTTCCTACCTCCAGAAACGCAAACGGAGCTTTAAGAGTATAAGATCAACATAGTGAAAATAGAAATCTTCTTTGGCTTCTGAATTCTGAGCCAGCAAAGGCTGCGTGGGATCGTTTCCACCTTAAACCTGCACACACAAAAAGCGTGGCCCTCCTATTGATCAGCAAACAAAATACACCGTTTCTGCCTCCTGCCTCTTACTCTCCTTTCCTCTTCGTCTTCCAGACTCTTGTTCCTCTACAGGCTCATTTTCTTGCCGTCTCCTCTCAATCACATCCCCTCAGCTGCCTTCCCTCTCCGTATCTCCCCTGCTCTCTTTGCCCTCCTCACTCAACTCATTTCTGGGTTCCCTCACCATTTTCCAACAAAGTCACCCTGGAAGCTTAAAGCATCGCCATCTTCCCTGGCACCACCCTGGGTCCATCCCAGCTCAAGAAGAGGAGCCAACAGCCTTTTCAAGCAAGCAAAGCCTGATCTCCAGCTTCCACATCAACGTGTGTTAACAGGTGTCCTTAGAGACCACAGGACTTGCAACAGTGCCAGAGGAGGTGGTGACTTCAGTGATCCTAAGGCACGGCAGCATCCATGCCTCCTCGCAAAGCAAAGCTACTTCTCTCATGTGTCCTCTTCTTGGATACCTGCCGCCCCTCTTGGGCATTACCTCTTGGAACTCGCCTTCTCTCAGCACTAGAGCAGAACAGGGAGACCCTAACTGCACCAGATCGCCTGAAGCTGGAAGGAAGGATGGATACGTACCTAGGCTGGGGTCCCAGGGACCCTACCCAGGGCTGCTAGCATGAGTAGGTGCAGCATAAAGCACAACATGGTTGAAGAACCAAGCTTTTTTTTTTTTTTCAGACCGCATTGTCTTCTGCTTATGGCCATTCCAATAAGTTAATCGTAAAGGCTTTCAGCTGGAGCAGGACTGGGGGAAAACAACACAGGCTGGAGAGAGCATTTTATGAGTCCAAAGGTCTCCATGTTCTCTGCCTGTGGCAAAGTCCAGCTCATCTGCAAAGTCACCATACACCTGAGTTTTGAGATCAAAAGAAGAACAGAGCTTCAACACTTACAATGCCCCTTTAGCCAGACAGATGGATCCAGCAGTCAAAAACTACACCATGGGACAATCACCCCACACCCCAAATACACATGATGTCCCTTCTGCTCCTCAGCACACCAGAGAAACTCCGAAGCATCCCCTCACAACAAGTCTAGCTACTTGTTCCCAAGTCTGTAATTGTTCCTGCAGCAATCTTCCTATGTCCAATACTGCAACCTCATCACTGTGTTCTCCTGTGTGCAATGCCTTCCTATTTATCATCGATCTTGTTTCCATTTCCCATTAATTGCAGGTGAATCAATTTCTAGGCATATATCAGACTTAAATATGCTGCTCCACATTTAAAAACCACTCTAACACATCTTGAACATCTCTATTTTTATTGCTTCAGTATTAATTACCATCCTATTCTACCTGGATTCCAAAGAGTATATAGACAAATCTGCGATTTAAACATGAGACAATTTATTTCATGCATTACCAAGACATGGACCTTCCAGACCTGACACAGAATAACAGTAGGTACTCACAGGAGTAGATAAAATTAACTGAATGTCTCAGTGCCTAGGTACCAACTTCTGAGCATCATATGAGGCACTAAATAGGCATCTCTTGTGCCACAGCTTCTGGACACACCGAAGCTGTGTCCATCAAACGATCTGCTCTCACAGAAGACAGCCCAGCCCAGCCGACAGAGCAAACACTAAAAGACAGGAGACCTCTGCTCCCTTCTTGGTTTCAGTAATGCCTCCACGGGGTCACCTCTGCTGCAGATTCCCAAATGAGAGGGATTAAAACAGGGAAGTCTTCACTGACTTTCTTTGTAAGAGATTTGCAAAAACACTAATCAAAGCGCCAGATAAAACCCGGCATTGCCGCTGTTGTTCTTTAATGATTCAAGAGGAAATCTTAAAGAGCACTAAGATGATGCAGGAGATCAAGTCTTGCTAAATGAAACTTTAGATGAATTTCCCCTTTAAAGCACGCAAGCGGTAGGCCTTTCATCTGCCTATATGATAACCACCTTTACGCTAGGATAAGAAAATGTTTCAAAACAACCTCATCAGCATTTCAGCTAAGTTGAAGTGCTCCAAAGGGCTGGTCCATTTGAAGAGGAAATAGGACTGAAGATGAAAAGCATCTTTAGAAAAGGGTGCACAGCTAAACCACTTATCAGCTTGCTATGCTAGCTTACAAAATAGCTTCTGTCTTACTCATCAGAAAAGCGTTTTACAAAGACTAACCTTACTATTTGAGCTAACAGGGCTGCCCTTTTTCACCTTGTCGTTGAGTAGCCTACGTTCCCACCCTCAGCAGGAGGTTTGTCCTTTCTACGTGGTGTCCTCTGAATGTCCTATCGCCATTTCATATCAATACTCTCATCACAGCTGAAGAGTCCTACTCCTCAGTTAAAGCTATGAAATTGTGCATCTAAATGATGCACAATTTGAGTGGCTAAACATTGGAACAGGCTGCCCAGGGAAGTGGTTGAGTCCCCATCCCTGAAGTATTTAAAAGACGTGTAGATGAGGCGCTTAGGGACATGGTTTAGTGGGCATGGTGGTGTTGGGTCGACGGTTGGACTTGATGATCTTAGAGGTCTTTTCCAACCTTAATGATTCTATGATTCTATGATTCTAAACTTACAGCCAGGCTGGAGTTTGAGCAGGAAAAGGTCCCAGGATTTCAACTTCATCTTCATTTGTTTGACAACAGCTACAGTCGAAACACTTCTGACAACAATTTCTACAAGTCCACCGGCACAGCAAGAGATCCGAGATTCTAGCGAGCAGACCCTGAAGCCATTGGAAACCAAAGTACAAGATTACAACCCATCAATAGCTATTGAGAAATAACATTCAGCTGTATTTATGTTTGTGTTTCTGCAACAGAACATTAAGAACTATATTTATTCCATCTATATCAACAGACAAGTGCTACGCAGTTACCAGCCCAACTTCACTGATGCCATAACAAGGCAGGAAAATAAGCATTCGCTGCAGGTATTTTCCCTCTAGTAGCGATGTACTATTATGTAGGTTGGCAAGAGGGTGATTTACAAAAGACTATGGCATAGCAATATGCTAGAGTGGAAACATGCTTATACTTTCACACACATCAACAAACTAATAGATTGGGAAATGTACAACAGAAGGAATTAAAAACAGAAGGTAAGTGAAAGCTCCAATTTAATCCATCAAGGGTCTATTTAATTTGAAAATCTTAACACAGCAACGTGAACACATTTCGTCCCTGTAGACGTATCAGCACGTAATATTTGTATGATTTATACACATAACAGCATTACAACCCGACAAACTTGCCACTAAAATGGATTAGCAAAAGCACGCTATCCACATGCCTCCCCTCTGCTATGATGATTAATTTAATGAAGAATCTTCAATGATTTTTTTTCTTTAAAGAAGTTACTTGACCCAGAAAAGTATTTCATTTCTTAGGTTTCCATGGTGGCACTGGCAGCATCACCTGTAACAGCGCTCCTCTGCTGTTACAACCACGGGGTGCGAGCACCCCATCGGAGGGGCAACAGGCTGCTGCCCCATTTCCATGCCATCCCTACGGCCTTCCCTCCACTTCAAAGCTCTGCTTGCTTCAAGAGGAGCAGAAAGCCAAACCTTAGCCCGTTTCCCACCCACGCCAGCTCCAACTTCTGCAGTTTGTAAGAAGGCTCATTAAGCTGCACAAGGGCACTGCTAATAAAGGGCATCACTCTGTAGTAATGGGGGGGGAGAGGCACGCAGCTGCCAAGAGCACAGCACGTGCACATCCAGGGTCGAATCGCTTTACAATTGTATGTGACCTTGAAATGTTCCTAAGAAGCTGAAGAAATAAAGCATGTGAGAATTTCTCCATAGATACCCCCCCCAAAATACTTGAAACATTTGCAGTATTCACGAGTGTGCAAATACAAAGGCACTATCTGAGGAACGTTTCCTCTGAGGAACGCAGATCTGCAGAGGAGACTCCACCAGAACATTTCTTTTTGCTCCAGTAAAACACAGAGTTTTTTCCATAAACAAAATCTGAACATTGAAGAAAAAAAAAATTACCAGCCCAAAATGTGGTGCATTACTTATATCTAGGACATCAGTAAAGAGTCAGAAAATACGAGACAATCCCCTCAGGATGGAGCGAGGAGACAGAGCGGAGAGTGAATCATCAGATTAACTCACCTCATTTATTGGTTCCAACTGTCCTTTTAGACATCCAGGATGAAGCAAGGGGAACAAAATGAAAAAGACAAAAACAGGTTAGCAATGCTCAAATAACTTTAAATTTTCTGCCATGACATGTCCCGGCCTGGGATGAGCTTGGATTTCTGGCAAGACAGTACTTTGAAAATGTTAGAGGAAGGAGAGGCCTCCTGACCAGGCATCAGCTTCTGCTGCTTCCAGTCCCTCCCCACCAAGCTCCCTCTGCTCCTCCTTCCCCAGGAGCGGAATTCCCAAACCATCCTGGAGCATGAAAATCCTGCTCATTGCCCCTTGCTAACAGGGTATCACGTGCAACCACTTATTTTCTTTTCTTTAATAACCCGTCTCTAATTGCAGCAACTACTTGCTGCTGACAGCAAACCATATCCAAATTTTCCAGTTAGATGCCACAGTGGAAAAAAAGACTTTCCTCCAGATTCAGCCCACATAAAAGCAGTTTCAATGCCAACTCATTAAAAGCAACATTTCTCAGAAGGGGCACAGACTCAGAATACTCTCCATTATGTTCACATCACTTGAGGTAGCTGGGCACCTTCAGTCTCATCCTCAGATGTGACTTGAAGAACACAAAAAAATAGAAGTTAAGTGCTTAAAACTTGAGTCATGCACTCCAGATCGAAAAATCTGCACTGCAGCCACTTCCCCCAAGTCACGGAGAAAATCTACAGCAGAGGAATAATCATCGCAAGCCAGTGTTTTATTCACAAAGCCACCCTTGGAACATTATACTTGACCCACTTCATTGATAACTGGAGACTTAGTAGCATTTCAGATGCCTGCTGAAATGTCTTTCTTATCACTTTCTGTCTAATGTCTAAGAGTTTCCTAATTGTCCCGGCTGTCTTTCTATAAAGAGAATCCCTGGGAAAAAAAAAACCAAAACCAAAAAACCGACACAAAAAACACACAACAAAAACACCCACACAACCCCCCCACACCCCTTCTCTACTCTTCCACATGTAGAAATTGGTTTCTAGCTTTATGCTCATGACAGGGACAAGAGCAGCCTTTTATAAAGGAGCTGGGATGCAGAAGTTGCCTTTAGTTCCAAGAACTCTCCCATGGACCACGTTCCAGCCCAAGCCTCCCTTTTAAACTTCTCGGAAACCAGTGCTCGGTGAAAAGGCCACCACTTGTTTGAAACACAAGTTAGGAGACTGGAAATGCTGCAGTGCGATGTAACAAGACAGTGATTACCAGATATCTATGGACCAACTGTTTCAAGAAAATCCTAAATGGTTTAAAGGGCTTTATCATTCCTTATTATTGCAAAGTTGCAGCCAAACCACGGCAGCCAAAGCCACAGTGGTTTAGCAAAGCTGCAAGAAGAATATTTAAATTTCTCTAAAACGAAGCAGCTGGAGCCGTGCCACACGATCGAACGCTGTAGCACGTGCTGTGCAAAGGAAGTGGCATTTCCGAATGGCCCGCAGGGACGCATGGTAGGCTTGTGTCAAACAGCCCTCCTGGCTACCATCAGCCACCGGTGATGTGAAACCACTCCTGTGTGCCACCAGCCCCAAGAGCACACACAGCACCATAAAAAAGTGCCTCTGTGACCACCCACAAATCTCCGCCAGGAAATGGGAGGACAGAAATGAGAACTAAATATTACAGTGCAGAAGAGGTAAACAAGTAACCAGTGCCATATAGGGATTAAATGCAGGGACCTATGAAAGGAGAGCAAACACGACCAGCTGTGTGCATCCACCTCGCTCACACCACGCAGGAGGGTCGGGGCTGGGGAAGGGCAGAGGTTTAGAGAAGGATGCAACAGCCAACAGGCGCTGGGCGATCCCAGGGAGCAAAGCTGCTGCAACGCACTCATCAACCCCAGGAGAAGGGCGAGACACCGTCATGCCCTGCCATGTCGTCCCAAGCCGGATGAGCAGAGGACAACGCGGCTGGGAACCCCCAGCCACGAGCGAACCCTTGCCAAGGGCCGACTGCGGCTGTCCCAGGCACATCCCCTCGCCTGGAGTCAGGTGCAAGGCAGGGCTACATCTCCGCTTCACACCTTGCTGCAGGAGCCCAGCACCCCAGTCTGCCGAGGCCCACGGGAAGGGTCGCCTACTCCAAAGCAGCACAGCCACCTGTCACAAACAGGTCAAGGGACCAGCTACAACTACCTGCCATGGCAGTGTCGCCAGGGATGCTGCAGCAGGGTGGGGTCTCCACTGGTGATGGACCGTGTTGTGCCCCTGCAGTTACACCCCCAGGGAAGGCTCACAAGCCCCACCACAGCGGATGCCGCAGCCTAGGGACAGTGGGGTCCCCCCAGCCACACACCCGTGGGTGGCCTCCCACCACCCCAATCTGACCCAGTGTCCCCACTGCCCTCGTCCCCACCCAGGTACCCCCTCCTCGCACACGGGGGTCCCG